TGTTTAACACTTTCACCTATGTCAGTTATGCTCTTACTGCTTTAGTTTTTGAGATGAAAGCCAAAAACTTCATTTGACCCCTATGTTCTATTTTTAGAAACTGCCGCCATGTTTTTAAATGGATCAAATCCCCGAATACAATCTATAAATTAGATACCCTAAGGAACATTGAATTAAAGTTTTTAAGTATTTGGCCAAGTAGTTTCAGAGAAGAAGATTTTTGAAAAAACAATTAGAATTTCACAAAAAATGTAAAAAAAACAAAACTTTTAAGGGCAATAATTTTGGCCTAGAATATTTTGATTGGCTGCAGAAAAATATAGATTTCCTAATTTGGGAGATGACCTGAAGGTCGTGGTAAATTTATTAGTCGTCGAAAACCGTAAACTCCCGATCGTCAACAGTGCGTAAATGAAAACATGGACAGATGAAACGAAAAGAGGCAGAAATTACCGGCTTATCTTTTTATTAAACATTCTTAAGTACAGAGTATAACTTTTTAAAACAGTGATATGTAAATGGTTTAAAGATTTCTCGTGTAAGGTAATAAACTTTCAATTTTTAAAGCGATCACGTTGACTGCACATGTCACTGACAAGTTCGAAAAATGGCGGCACAGAAATGCAAAACGAAAGTACGAATAAATGACATAACTATTACTTTTATTACCAAAATTTATACATTGTATAAAAATCGTAAACCTTTTAACACTGTATGGTAACGGATGCTTTACAGCTTTACGCAATTGACCTGATTTTTAAACTGAAGTAGGCAGTGCACTTTTCATTTTCCATGATGCCTCAAGGCATCATGCCGCCGTTACCAGGTGATGCTTTCAGGCATCATACGGCGGTTACCAGGTGATGCCTTGAGGCATCATACACCTTGAATGGGTTAAGGGGTGAATTGACTATTTTGATCATGTTGACTTATTTGTAGACCTTACTTACCTGAAAATTTATTGACATTTATACTTTCTCTCTATCTATTATAATATTAACGAAAATAACCAAAAACAGTAAATTTTAATAAAAATAAACGATTTCCAACAGTAACCCAACAATGGGTTGTCGAACTTGTCTGAAAATTTCATAATAGATAGATCATGACCCATCTATCACTTTAACTCCCTTTCACTTTTGCTCTAACTGTTGTAGTTTTTGAGATAAAAGCCAAAAACTGCTTTTGTCCCCTATGTTCTATTTTTAGCCATGGCGGCCATGTTTGTTGATGGATCAAAACTTAGGATATAATTTATAAACTAGTTACCCTAAAGAACATTCAGTTAAAGTTTGGAAGTATTTGGCCCAGTAGTTTCAGAGAAGATTTTTGAAAAAGTAATAGACTTGCATGAAAAAATGTAAAAAACAAACGTTTCAAGGGCAATAACTCCTCAAGGAGTCAATTGACTATTTTGATCATTTGACTTTTTTGTAGATCCTACTTAGCTGAACATTTTTGCCATTTACACTTTCTCTCTATCTATTATAATATTAAGGATAATAACCAAAAACAGTAAAATTTCATAAAAATAAACTATTTCGGACAGTAACCGTACAATGGGTGGTCCAATTTGTCTGAAAATTTCATAACAGATAGATCTTGACTTATTCATCACTTTAACTCCATGTCACTTTTGCTTTAACTGCTATAGTTTTTGAGATAAAAGCCAAAAACTGCATTAGACCCCTATGTTCTATTTTTAGCCATGGCGGCCATGTTTGTTAATGGATCAAAACTTTGGATTTAATTTATAAACCAGTTACCCTAAGGAATATTCAGATAAAGTTTAGAAGTATTAGGCCGAGTAGTTTCAGAGTAGATTTTTAAATTTTAGCAAACAAGATGAACAAATTGTGTAAACTTGTATTTAAAGGGCAATAACTCCTTAAAGGGTCAATTGACAATTTTGGTCATATTAACTTTTTTGTAGATCTTACTTTGCTGAACATTTTTGCTGTTTACAGTTTATCTTTATCTTCAATAATATTCAAGATAATAACCAAAAACTGCAAAATTTCCTTAAAATTACCAATTTAGTGGCAGCAACCCAACAATGGGTTCTTCAGTTCATCTCAAAATTTCAGGGCTGAAAGATCTTGACCTATTTAAAATTGTCAGATTTGCTCTAAATGCTCTAGAGATATAAGTCAAAAACTGCATATGACCCCTAGGTTCTACTTTTAGCCATGGCGGCCATGTTTGATGATGGATCAAAACTTCGGATACAATTTATAAACTAGATACCCTAAGGAACATTCAGTTACAGTTTGAAAGTATTTGGCCTAGTAGTTTCAGAGGAGAAGGTTCTTGAAATAGTTTACGATGACGATGACGATAGACAGACGACAGACGCCAAGTGATGGCAGAATCTCACATGGCCCTTTGGGCCAGGTGAGCTAATAAGGAGATGTGGTATGCTTGTTTTCTACCCATGGTTCTTCAGACGGACGGACAGACAGATGAAGTCAAGCCCTATATTCTCTTTTATATCTACACTATGTATATGGTGACTGACTTCTGGGTAGAGATTAATATCAAATAAGAAGTCTTTTGAAGAGTTAATACAAACAATAAACTGTTGACACAGAGATGTGAGCCATTAAAGTGTCCCGTGAAAAAGTGTCCATTCAATCGGACATAATTTCATGATAAAATACTATTAAATTCTGTCCTGTAAAGGTTGATTTTCAATAAGAGGACACTTTTTCACAGTAAAAAGTGTCCTTTAAAGGGAGATAATAAAAAAGTCAATGAAATGTTTTAGCTATATTTAATTTTCTATTACTAAAACAAACCAATTAAGAACCAGTATAAATTTGATATATACAAAGGAAGAACAGTATTTATGATTACTATTCTTGAATATTACATGATTTTGTATATATTGCAATGAATTACATGTATTATTATTCACATAGTTCATATTAAGTTCTATTAAATGTATTAACTGTTTTTGTGTGTATTAGTACATGTTTTATTGTATAATTTATGTTTAATTACACATGGTGATGATCACATTTTGTATGAATTCAATACTCCAGTTTTAATAGAGACAAAACCCCCATTGCTAATTTTAAAACTTCAATTAAGATAAAAGACTGAAGCTATGTATACATTTTGTAGGTATTGAGAGTGGACATTTTTTCACGTGAAATACTGTCCATTCTATGAAGGACACTTTTTCATATGAAATATTGTCCTTTCTTTGAAGGACACTTTTTCACATCTGTGGACACGATTTCATAAGTAAATATTGTCCGGAAGATATTTCATAATAACATTATGTCCGTGGACACAATTTTCTGTGAAAAAGTGTCCAGTGGACATAATTTCATGGCAGATAATATTAAATCCTAGAGATATGTCTCACCTGTACAGAAAAAGACAATCTGATGGATAGCAACATTGCTTATTAATTCAAAGTCACTGGACTATGATCTAGCTGGCAGGGCCTGAAAATTGTTGACAAACTGAGATGTACAGACAGTAATGTAACTTTATAGAAAATGTTGTTGTCTATTGTAAGTAGCTCCTATCAATCTAACTTAAGCAGGAAACTTAACACTGAAAATTGCTAATTAAATCAAATACACTGGACCATGACCTAGGGAGCAGGGCCTCAAAATAGTTGTCAAACTAATATATGTACTGATAGTAATGCAACTTTATAGAAAATATCATTGATCTATCACAAGTAGTTCCTATCAAACTGACTGAAGCAGAAAACTTAACATTAAAAATTGCTTATTAATTGAAAGCCGCTGGACTATGACCTAGGGGGCAGGGCCTCGAAATAGTTGTCAAACCGATAGTCAGATACGAACTGACAGTAATGCAACTTCATACAAAATATCATTGATCTCTCACAAGTAGTTCCTATCAAACTGACTTAAGCAGAAAACTTGACATTGAAAATTGCTAATTAATTCAAATACACTGGACCATGACCTAGGGGACAGGGCCTCAAAATAGTTGTCAAACTTATATGTACTGATAGTAATGCAACTTTATATTAAACATCAATGATTTATCACAAGTAGTTCCTATCAAACTGACTTAAGCAGAAAACTTAACATTGAAAATTGCTAATTAATTCAAAGTCACTGGACCATGTCTTTGGGGGCAGGGCCTCAAAATACTTGTCAAACTGATATGTACTGATAGTAATGCAACTTCCTTCAAAATATCATTGATCTATCACAAGTAGATCCTATAAAACTAACTTTAGCAGAAAACTTAACATTGACAATTGCTAATTAATTCAAAGTCACTGGACCATGACCTGGGGCAGTGCCTCAAAATAATCGTCAAACTGTTTTGATAGTAATGCAACTTTATATTAAATATCAATGATCTTTCGTAAGTAGTTCCTATCAAAATAACTTAAACAGAAAACTTAACAATTGTTGATGCAAACATCGTCATCGTCTATGCCGGAAAAGCAATCCCTGTCTAAATTTCCGTGACTTACATCACAGACGGGACCAAAAGCTTAAAAGTCAAATCTTTCAGTAAGATAATTTTCAAATATTTTGAAGGGTTAGATTCCACGTTCTACCCGTCCGTAACTAAGGAAAGCCACCAATTTGAAATCCAATTTTTTTGTGTGTCAATATTTAAACCAAGCAGAAGCGTACAAAAAGTATAAATAAGTCTAGTGTTCATGTTTGATATCGGGAGTATACCTATGACGTCACACTGTTTAGATGCCAAAGACGATGTAACAATTTTGCAGACTTTTTCATTGATAGCATTTTTAAGCCAAAATATTTTCTGAAATGAAATTTATTTTAATATGTGGCGTTAGAATGGAGATAACTGTATTGTATTTTAAAATACAATACGCTATGTTTCGCTAGGTTAACTCAATTTGCGACATTTAAATATACGTTTTACGAAGGCCAAGCTTAAAATACAATACAGTTATCTCCTAATTCCCCATCTTACTATTTGTGGTGTTAATCTTTGAATTGATCGGATATATTTTAATAACTTACGCCATGAACATATGTCCACCACACGAAGAAAGACATGAACGTTCTGTTGGATCTACATCTGTGCTGTGTCCAAATACAGCAAACATGAGTCCAATAAGGAGCAACAATACTATCAGCAATATGACAGAGGATAAACCAATACCACCATACCACCTGTAAAATAATTAAATCTTTGATGAATGTGCCACCTTATAATTTTACAATTTTTTTCTTTATACAACAAAATAGGCAGCCATTGTGAAATCAATACTTTCAACACCAAAAGAAGCACTACATGTATGTCTTTGATATGTATTGGTTATTATATGGGATTATTGTCTCAAGTAAATTCATCTTATTCATGTCCTGTTTTTCAATTGAATTTATAATGAGTATACCATTAATTCATGGTAAACAAAGTCTTTAACATTGGTTAAGTTAACAAGCACACTGTGTCTATACAGTACCCCAGCAAAAAATGTTTGGTCTCAAAAGTATCTAATATCGGTACAGTGAAGGACAACCTACAGACAGAGATAAAGTAAAATGTCTGTTATTTTGATGATATTGAACAATATAACTATTTTCAATTATGAGATGTCATATTTTCTACAACAGTTCTAGATTAATGGAGAAATAAGTAAAAAGGCATGTTAAAAGGATGACTAGAGTGAACTTCACCTCAGATTTGTTTAACTTCTCATTAAATTATGCACATAGTACAGAAATAAACAGACAGAAAGAAAGATATATACATGGAGTTTGCAAGATTAGTTACTTTGAGCACCTCAATATTTGTATTTCTACTCATGAAACAATACAGATTGGTCATGTCAAAATTGAAGGACCTGTTTCTACCAAATTTGTTTACTTACATCAGGACCCAGTTTTGATTTTATATAGGACCCGATATTGTTTCCACAAATTTATGAAAGGCAACATACACAGATCTGAAATTCAATACCTTAGGTCTGAGAAAACAGTTATTTCGTAGTGCATTTCTTTTAGACAATAAATTCAAATTAAAAAAATCGCACCTGCTCTATCTGAAAAAGACTGGGGTCACCATATTTGCTTTTTTTGTAATTTTTATAAGAAAACGCCAATTTATGGGACAACTTTACATAGATACATAGGGAAAATGCCCTTTTTTAAACTTATTTTCGTAGATTTTTAAATGGATGGCTATGGCTATATAGGGAGAAAGACTAAAAACTAACATAATATTATTATTATTATATAGGATTGTATACTGAATCCATGCATGTATAGAAAAACATGTCACCATCCTTGTTTTTTTAGATACATTGCTTCAAAATTGACCAATACACTTAAAATTTGACAGAAAACATGTGACGTTACTGAATACAGAATAACGTTATTTTCATTCAGAGGTATTGAAAAAAATATCTGAATAGTGTTTGTTATTTTGTTTTCATTTCCCCTGTCGTAAATTTCCTATATATTCAATATACTGTATACATGCATGAATAAAATATAGTACTCCAAAAACTCGATTTGGTAAACATTGATGTTGAAGTGCAAATTGAATTGATTGATTGATGGTTGCTTAACAAACAGTGGCAACTATTTCATGAATTTTCAGGACAATACAATTCAATTTGAAAAAGTTGTGTCTAAAAGACACATTTGATGCAGCCGTCAAAAAAGGTTAAACATTCTGTTAGTTGTGAAAATAATAAAGAAAATAAACATCCTGATAAAATACACATTCTAAATATAGTATACTCTGTATGGTGTAATCGTGGGAGTTGTGTGCGTAGTTAGTTGGACAAACCTTGCAAACTGTATGCAAAATTCCACTTAAAAAGACAAAGTTCAATATTCTGTCATTCGTGGAAAATTATTAAAAAAAAAAATCAAAATGCCAAATTCAGCAACATGTCATTTAAAAAAAAACATCTGACAAGATGCACATCTTTAGTATATGTACTAACACCAGGTACATAATTTAAAAGTTTAAGCTTAAAAACTGTAGTCCAAACAAATTAGCCTTATAAACCCTATATACCAAGTGCGGGAAGGACTGTCGAATGGACACGGGTAAAATTATATGCTCCCAGCATTTTGTCGAGGGAGCAAAATATATATTAGCATATATGATGATGTTCAATTTATAAGGCATTTGGTGACAAAATATCATTTGAATAAGCAGTTCATAGTGAATGGTAATTGGGAGATCTCAAATGTAGCAATGTAAGCAAGCTAACATCTACGTCATTTGGGGTTTGATGGAAAGTTGTCTCGTTGGCAATCATACATCTCCGTATTTCATAATGGTTTGAGTTTTCTTCTGAAATACAAGAAGTTTAAAGACTTTAACCAATATGTACTAGGAGACTGCAATATGTTGCTGTTATAGTTAAAATCTGACTTTTGTTGTGAACATGTGATGTTATAATTTGATAGCTACTGCTGATTTAATACTTGCTATACTAAATATACTTATTAACTTTCCAATTCTAGAGACCAACGAATGTTTACTAACACTACAAAATAGCTGTAAAAAAATACTCGTCCATCCTGCATTAGTCAAGTGTTATCTAGATGTCTTCGGTTTTGTGTGTCTTTAGTTGGCCAGTTGCTGTTTTATTGTATATCCCACATCTCCATTTATACACACAAAGAAATAACAACCCTTTTAATTTACATACACACTTGAATACTTGTTATAAAAACTCCTTATAAGGCTTGTGAATACTCTCGGGCTTTTATGGAAGCCTATGTGAGCAATATGCCCCCCCCCCCCCCCCCACATAACAGCACCTTTGCTAATCGTCTGGGAGGCCGTTTGTCCGTCCCGTCTTGTGAGGGCTCTCACGTGTACAATTCTTGCCAGATTTTTATAAAACTTATAAATTAGGTTTATATCAGCATTGTTGCTAAGTTTGAAAATTAGTGCCGATTAATTATTTTTAAAAGAGTTATGCCCCTTGAAAATATTAATTATATGGAAAATTGCATTGTAAGCGCTCTCACGTGAACAATTTTTGCCAGATCTTTATAAAATGTATATCAAAGGTTTAATTATCAGCATTGTCTTGGATAATTTCAAAAATCGGTGCCAATCAATTATTTTTAAAAGAGTTATGCCCCTTGGAAATATTAATTATATCAGAAACTGCATTGCATTTGCTCTCAAGCCTGCATCTCTATTATGATATTTAAAAAAATTTAAAGAACAAACAAAAAATTTTTTTTTAAGTTATAATGCCCATGGACAGATAAAATATGTGCAACGTTTGGGGCATTGGAACTCTGTTCTTTTAATCAGTTTGTTTTTGCCGTTTGAATAAAATAGGTTAATAATGACAATATCTTTTTATAATTTGTTTGCATTTAAAGCGCTTTTCTGAATTACCTTCATCGAAGCACCGATCATTCATTTATTGTGGGGCCACATGTTTTTAATGTACTGTTTGATTGCAAATTTTGAGAAAATGGTTTATTTCAGAATAGAAAAAAATGTAACAGGATCTGAATGATTTAAATTGATTTCGTCCTAACCGAGTGCACATTTAGTGTTGACATCCCATATGTTTAAGCCTTTGTTAACTTTCTCCTCCTAGTGGTTTATCTTAAACAAGCTTCCGAAACCATATCGGATTTTTCTGTCCCTTGGAAACAGTTTTAAGAAAAAATTGAAAGAAAAAACAATTTAACACATATGTGGTATCATTTGGTGTGATATGTGAAATAGCACTTCATTAGGTGTGATATGTGAAACAACTCTTTTTGAGATAACTCTTCTTCTGGAAATAGAAATGGGCCACAACCATAAGAGAATTTCCATTACAATATATTATATGCTGAGGTATAGATAGCTATTTGGACTGATGTGACATAGCAAACATAAAGCAAACAAATCTTACCTATATTCATCATATTCTACTCCATATTTTGTATAGTTTCTTAGCAAATCTTTGTATGTGGTGATGCTGAAACTTCCTGTTGTCTGAAAATGAGAATATGTATAGAGTTAAGGTGATATGAGCAATAACATTGTAAACATTTGGACTCTATTGTCATTATACCTCAATTTCTTCCTATCTATTATAATTTATGAGATAATAGGCAAAAATGAAAAAAAAATTGGGAACAATCTTCATTAACAGGCAATAACTTCAATAAGGTGTCAACTGACTATTTCAATGTTTTACTTATTTGTAGATCTTGTCTTGATGATCTTCTTTGCCTTAAAGTTTCTGTCTATTATCATTGTCAAGATAATAGGCAAAAATGAAGAAAAAAAAATTGGGAATAATCATCATTAACAGGCAATAACTTCAATAAGGTGTCAACTGACGATTTCAATGTTTTACTTATTTGTAGATCTTGTCTTGATGATCTTCTTTGCCTTAAAGTTTCTGTCTATTATCATTGTCAAGATAATAGGCAAAAATGAAGAAGAAAAATGGTAACAATCTTCATTAACAGGCAATAACTTCAATAAGGTGTCAACTGACGATTTCAATGTTTTACTTATTTGTAGATCTTGTCTTGATGATCTTCTTTGCCTTAAAGTTTCTGTCTATTATCATTGTCAAGATAATAGGCAAAAATGAAGAAGAAAAATGGTAACAATCTTCATTAACAGGCAATAACTTCAATAAGGTGTCAACTGACGATTTCAATGTTTTACTTATTTGTAGATCTTGTCTTGATGATCTTCTTTGCCTTAAAGTTTCTGTCTATTATCATTGTCAAGATAATAGGCAAAAATGAAGAAGAAAAATGGTAACAATCTTCATTAACAGGCAATAACTTCAATAAGGTGTCAACTGACGATTTCAATGTTTTACTTATTTGTAGATCTTGTCTTGATGATCTTCTTTGCCTTAAAGTTTCTGTCTATTATCATTGTCAAGATAATAGGCAAAAATGAAGAAGAAAAATGGTAACAATCTTCATTAACAGGCAATAACTTCAATAAGTTGTCAACTGACGATTTCAATGTTTTACTTATTTGTAGATCTTGTCTTGATGATCCTTTTTGTCTTAAAGTTTCTGTCTATTATAGTTTTCCAGATAATAGGCAAAAAAGAAAATAAAATGGAAAAATTTGTTGTTTCAGGGCAACAATTAACTCCTATAAAACAATTTTGATGTCAACAGTAATTATTAACTGGACATTAATTATATAAAAACTAGAGGCTCTAAAAAGCCTGTGTCGCTCACCTTGGTCTATATGCATATTCAACAAAGGACACTCTCCAACATTGTAGATGAGAATAGAATTAATGACAAAAATCTTTGTTTTTTTTTTATCTTATATTGCTGATATTGAAGTCTGTTTAGTTTCTCTCTACCTTATTTAGCTTTTGCTCCAAACACAAAAGAGAGGGTAAAAAAAAAAAATCCCAATTTAAGGGCAATAACTCCTATAAAGAGTAACAGTCTACTAATTATATCGGCAAAATTTGACTTGTAAGTAGGTCTTGTCTTGCTTTTCAATTTTTGATTATTTAAATTTTTATCTATCTATCATAATTTTTATTATATAAGGCAAAACGCAAAAAAAATGGTATAAAAATCGTCATTAAAGGGCAATAACTCCAATAAGGAGTCATCGGACAAAATCTGCCATTTGTCTTAATTGTAGATCTTGTCTTGCTGATCATTTTTGTTTATTTAAGTTTCTTTCTATCTATCATAAGTTTTAAGATATAAGACAAAAACGCAAAAAAAATTTGCCATCAAAGGGCAATAACTCTTATAAGGAGTCAACTGACGATTTCAACCATAAGACTTATTTGTAGAACTTGTCCTTCTGATCATTTTTGCAATTTCAAGTTTCTCTCTATCTATTATAGTTTTCAAGATAATAGGCAAAAATGAAAAAAAGTAGTAAAATTTGTCATTTAAGGGCAATAACTCCTACAGGAAATCGTCTGACAGTTTTGACGTATATGGACAATTGGTAGAGCTCAACATTCTGAATAATTTTACCCTTTCAGATTTCCTCCATTTGTAACTGTTATCAGAATAATAGACAAAACTTGCATTTTACCCCATATGTAATATTTTTAGCCACGTCGTCCATCTTTGTTGGCAGGCACATTTTTTAAACTAAATACCCTAATGATGATTGTGGCCAAGTTTGATTTTATTTGGCCCAGTAGTTTAAGAGGAGAAGATTTTTGTAAAAGATTACAAAAATTTATGAAAAATTTGTTAAAAGTTGACTATAAAGGGCAATAACTCCTTAAGGGATCAATTGACAATTTTGGTCATGTACTTATTTGTAGATCTTACTTTGCTGAACATTATTGCTGTTTACAGTTTATCTCTATCTATAATAATATTCAAGATAATTACCAAAAACTGCAAAATTCCTTAAAATTACTAATTATGGGGCAGCAACCCAACAACAGGTTTTTCTGTTTCGTCTGAAAATTTCAGGGCAGATAGATCTTAACCTGATGATCATTTTAACCCTGTCAAATTTGCTCTAAATGCTTAAGTTTCAGAGATATAAACCAAAAACTGCATTTTACCCCTATGTTCAATTTTTAGCCATGGCTGCCATGTTGGTTGGCAGGCGGGGTCGTTGGACACATTTTTTAAACTAAATACCCTAATGATGATTGTGACCAAGTTTGATTTTATTTTGCCCAGTAGTTTCAGAGGAGAAGATTTTTGTAAAAGATTACAAAAATTTTCGAAAAATTGACTATAAAGGGCAATAACTCCTTAATGGGTCAATTGTCAATTTTGGTCATGTTAACTTATTTGTAGATCTTACTTTGCTGAACATTATTGCTGTTACAGTTTATCTCTATCAATAATATTATTCAAGATAATAACCAAAAACTGCAAAATTTCCTTAAAATGACTAATTCAGGGGCAGCAACCCAACAACGGGTTGTCTCATTTGTCTGAAATTTCAGGGCAGATAGATCTTGACCTGATGAACAATTTTACCCCATGTCAGATTTGCTCTTAATGCTTTGGTTTCAGAGATATAAGCCAAAATCTACATTTTACCCCTATGTTCTATTTTTAGCCATGACAGCCATCTTGGTTGGTGGGCCAGGTCATCGGACACATTTTTTAAACTAGATACCCCAATGATGATTGTGGTTAAGTTTGGTTAACTTTGGCCCAGTAGTTTCAGAGGAGAAGATTTTTGTAAAAGTTAACAACGTACAACGGACACCAAGTATTGAGAAAAGCTCACCTGGCCAAAAAATCTAGCTATATATAGATGTGTCAGAACGACACGAATTGCCCCGTCGCAAAAAGTTGAAAGCCTGATATTTCAACAACAAGTGTGAACACAGACATGCATGGATAGTAATCAGCATTCAAGACCAATACTGGTTTGACGAACAATTTCCTTTAACAACGAGTAGTTAAATTTCAAACTATCGGCAATCAGGAAGTGGATGTACTGCAGATCTAAAATTTGTTAATGCAGTACAACTCAACATGATCAAGCTCTGGACCAAATATAAAATTATTCCCTTTCATAGAAGCCATGAAAATTTGATGAAAATTTTCCTTGTACATTTAGTTAAAGTTAAAATTATTAGCAAACAGGAAGTGGCTGCACCGCAGATCTAATAAACAGCTGCGCCATGAGTGCATGATACGCCCTTCGTCTTGTGTGTGAATTTTTATGCAATAAGCATAAATAGTTTCTGACATACGGCGTGACATGCGAAAACCCCCTTTTTTTTTTACAAAAAACTCAATATCTCTAAAATAAAATTTTGAACCAAAAAGTATACAGATCTTTAGATTAATATAACTAAGAAGTGTGTAAAATTTTAAGCAATAATCATAAATCGTTTTTGAGATACGGCGCGACATGTGAAAAACCCCCTTTTAAAAAAAAAAAATCAATATCTCAAAAATAAAATTTTGAATCAAAACCAAAAAGTATACAGATCTTTAGATTAATATAACTAAGAAGTGTGTAAAATTTTAAGCAATTATCATAAATCGTTTTTGAGATATGGCGCGACATGTGAAAAACCCCTCCCCCTTTTTTTTATACAAAATACTCAATAACTCAAAAATAAAATTTTGAATCATCACCAAAAAGTATACAGATCTTAGGGTTAATATAACTAAGAAGTGTGTAAAGTTTTAAGCAATAATCATAAACTGTTTTTGAGATAAGGCGCGACACGTGAAAAACCCCTCCCCTTTTGTAACAAAATACTCAATATCTCTAAAATAAAATTTTGAATCATCACCAAAAAGTATACAGATCTTAAGATTAATATAACTAAGAAGTGTGTAAAGTTTTAAGCAATAATCATAAATTGTTTTTGAGATACGGCGCAACATGTGAAAAAAAACACACACCTGTTTTAGTTACTAAGTCCCGTAACTCAAAAAGTTTTAATCTTATTTTCACCAAAAAGTATACAGATTGTTTGACCATCATAAGAAACAACTATGTTAAGTTTCATGAAATTTGGATAAGTCATTCTCAAGTTAAGGTGCGACATGTTTATGCCGGACAGACAGACGGACGGACGGACAGTCGACACCAGACATTTGTATACCATAATACGTCCCGTCAAAAATTGACGGGCGTATAAAAATTGCTTACACATTACAACTCAACATGATCAAACTCTAGACCAATATAAAATCATTTCTTTATAGAAGACTAGAAATCTTTGATGATGATTCAATATGCAAGGTCTTTCAGACTGACGGAAGGAGTTGAGTAGTTACTAGACCTGCTTTCACCACTGGGGATGCAGTTTAAAATCAGCAGAGCGGAACAAAAGTGAACTTGATCTGTAACTCATCATAGAGAACTCACATACCAAAATCAGCCTAATATCCTGAAGCGGTTATGAAAAAAGTCCGTATAACTGTTATTTTCAAAGTCTAAAGCCTGTAATACTGACTAAAATCAGCGGAGCAGAACGAAACGTACACTTGATCTGTAACTCATCATGGAGAACTCACATAACAAAAATTAGCCCAATG